CCTACGTGTGTCCAGTCAAGGATCGCCTGATCCCGCGTGGTCCCCACAGCATGATCCAGCCCGATCCAGCCCTCGAGGCTCCTAAGCCTGAGTTCTACAATGAGTCACTCGGGGCCAGAGAGAGAGTACAGGGGTTTAGGTGCATGCCTTGCTCATGGTCAGCTTGGGTTCAATGCCGAGCACCCCAGATAGTCCTCAAGACACATCGGGAGTGATCCCTGAACTCAGAGCCAGGAAAAAGCCCTGAGCACAACTGGGTCTGATGTCCCAAAAATGAAAGAAAAACTATATTCTTAAAACTTGTTTTACTTCATTGAGATTAAATTTACATAACATTAATCTCCATAAAAGAACCGAGTTCGTCACATGTAGTAACCTCTACTTTCTAGTTTCGGAGCAGCATCATGACTCCAAAATAAAAGCCTGTTCAGTTAAGCCCCAACTCACTGAGCATTCCTGGCAGTCCCCCAGTCTGCTCCCTGTCTCTGTGTTGCTCTCTTCTGAGAGATTTATCTGTGAGTCTCTGGATCGTGGCCATTAAGGAGCTTATCTGGCGCCAGAGGCAGTTCCTGGGCGTGATTGGCTGGCTACCGGAAGCATAGACATATGGAGGGAAGGTTGCCCATTCCCGATTCCTTACAAGCCTGGAGATTTCAGTCACACGTCCTGCATGCATGGGTTTTTCATCAGATTCGCTTATGGATGAGGCTCATTCGAGTCTGTGGAGATCGGCCGTGAGCATGGCAGCAGTTGAGTTCTGGAGGTTTCCAGCTGCCAGAGCTCTGTTGGGGCGGGCAGGGGAACTCACCCGCCCCTCTCCCTCTCTGGGTTGCCCTAGATGAGACAACCTGGCACAGGGTCCGGAGGCATCTCTGCAGCATGGCACTCTGTGTTACTCTCATCTGAGAGATTTATTTGTGAGTCTCTGCTTCTGGTCTCTGGATTCCCCTGTTCTACATCCTGCGTACTGTTCTGCATACGAAGCTCAGCTTTTGTTCAGGATGGAGTTGCTTCCCAATAAACAGACGTGTCACAGCTAAGCCTACACTACCCAAGCAGAACACTTAGATTAGCCTACAGTTGGGCAGAATTATCTAAACTGTCTATTTTTATACCTAGTGTCAAACACTTTGACAAATATTTTTTAAACCTGATAGAATGTAGAAGCAGTGTCCCCAGAGCTGGCAGTGACGTGTTTACCTTTGTGGTTCTGAGGTAAGCTGCTTAGCAGCTCCCAGCAGCACCTAGGAATATGAAGCAATAGCGTGGGTGAAAAAAAAACCAATTCAAATTATGGGGGCAGAGGCGGGGATTTGGGCATAACACACTCAAGACAGTTGACCTGCCAAATACTTATACTTTTTACATCATTTATAAAATTCAGTGACCTAAGTAGAGACCCCTACATATCCTCTGTGACATTTGAGTCTAAGTTTCACTTATCCGGTTGTTTGTTCATCATTAGGCCACACTCAGCAGTGCTCTGGGCTTATTCCTGGCTCTGTGCTCAGGTATCACTCCTGGAAGACTCAGGGCCATATGGGTTGCCAGGAATCACACCCTGGTTGGCTACATAAACGGCAAATACCCTACCTGATGTACCATATTTCCACCTCTCACTCAGAGTGTTCTCAGGATCCATCTGCAGTGGAGTATGTATCAGTACTTCTTTCTGTTTTATGGATGAATAATAATTCATAGACGTATTTTGTTTCTCCTTTCATCTATTGAAGAACTTTTAGCTGGCTTCCACATTTTGGCTACTGTTAATAGTGTTGCTACAGGTTTCTGTTGGGGAAGCTCTGTTTTGTTCTGGGAGAATTGCTAGCTCATCTGGTAATTTTATGTCTAATTTAGTGGAAGTGGGTAGACAACACCTAGCAACACCCAGAGTTTACTCCCGGCTTTGTGCTCAAGGATCACTCCTGGCAATGCTCAGAGGACTATATTAGAGTACTGGGTATCAAACCAGGGTCAACAAAATGCAAAACTTGTGCCTGAACCCTGGTGCTAGCTCTCTGGCTCTTTCTGATAAGTCACCAATTGTTTTTTGCAGTGCGTGAAGTATGTTACATTCCTATTGATGCTGTGTGAAGGTGTTTTTCTGCAGTCCTTGCCAGTTCTTGTTTTTAAATAATTGCCATTCTAGGGGTGTCAAGTGGTAGCTCATTTTGGTTTCATTTTGCACGTCCCTGATGACTGATAATAATGGACATTTTTGTGTGCTGATGGATTATTTGTTTGGAGAAATGCTGTTTGTATTTTTGTTGTTAATAGAGTAAGTTCATTGTGGTATATATACTTATGGATTTATATATAGACCCGTGGACCTGTTAGACCCCCAAGTTAGGATAAGAAATGTCAAGGAAAGCAGAGAGTATCAGAACATTTTACAAATTCTAGTTTTTATGCTGGATTACCTTTCCAGTAGACAGATAAAACTGTAGAGAAGGGCTGGAGCAATAGTACAGCGAAGTGGTTAGGGCGCTTGCCTTGCACGCAGCTGACCCAGGTACAGTCATTCCATAGGTCCTCTTCATAGGTCCTCTGAGCCCCACCAGGAGTTAAGTCCTCAGCACTGCTGCGTGTGGCCCAGAAAACAAAAACAAACAAGCAGAAAGCCTGATGGGAATGTGGTTGTGAGTTTTTATGTTATTCCGCCCTTTGTATTGAAGATTTTAGTCTTTTTATCCCACTTTATTGGTTTATAAATGTCTACATCTCTTCTTTCCAACTTATTTTTATTGAGGTAAAATGTCCCCTAACAGTTTGCCTTTATAAAAAATCTTAGTTTGTATTGACTGGAAATAAGTTTTATATATTTTAAATATTGAACCCTTATCAGATAGGTTATTTGTAAATGTTTTCTCCCATTGTGTGGGTTGCCTTTGCAGTCTTACTTGTATTCTTTAATGTGCAGAAGTTATTCTCTCTGTCTTTGTCTCTGTCTCTGTCTCTCTCTTCCTGATGATTGTTGTTTGGTTTTGCACCCAACAGTGAGCCAGGGCTTACTCCTGGCTCTGTGCTTATGGGTTGTTCTTGGCAGTGGTTGGGGCAACATATGTGGTGCTGCAAATATAGTTTCAGCCCAGAAGTTATCCATTTTGACTGAGACTATTTGATCTACTTTTTATTTTGATTATATTTGTTTCAGGTGGCAATTTGGCATTATCTTGAAAAATCCAAAATCCTAGAAATTTACTTTGTTTAGCTTTAGATCTTTAACATTTAAAAACATTTAGGATTTTGGGGGCTGGAGCGATAGCACAGCGGGTAGGGCGTTTGCCTTGCACGTGGCCAACCCGGGTTCGATTCCCAGCACCCCCGATGATCCCCTGAACACCCAGGAGTAACCCCTGAGTGCAGAGCCAGGCGTAACATCTGTGCATCACCGGATGTGACCCAAAAAGAAAAAAAAATTAGGATTTTGGTTCATTTTTATTTAATTAATGTGTATGTAATGTGTATGTTGTGAGATAGGATCCTAGTGAAGATTGTAATTTCTCTCGATTTTATAGCACAGCAACAAAACCGAATTCCATATTGTGTTAAATGTTCTTCATTGTAGGCTGGAGCTATAGCACAGCAGGTAGGGTGTTTGCCTTGCTCGCGGCTGACCCGGGTTCGATTCCTTCATCCCTCTGAGAGAGCCCGGCAAGTTACCGAGCGTATCCTGCCCACACGGCAGAGCCTGGCAAGCTCCTGGCAAGCTCGAATACATATCATGTATTCGATATGCCTAAAACAGTAACAAGTCTCACAATGGAGACGTTACTGGTGCCCGCTCAAGCAAATTGATGAACAACGGGAGAACAGAGCTACAGTTCTTCATTGTATTAGACAAAGCAGGAGGCCAGTGCAGTAGTACAGTGGCAGTGCAGTCGGGCTCTTGCTCTGCCTGTGAACAACCCAGGTTCCATCCCCATCACCACATCTGGTCACCTGAGTCCTGCCAGAAGTGATACCTGAACAAGGAACCAGGAGTAAGCCCTCAGCATCACCAGATGTGGGCCAAAATAGGGGGGAATAGAATGAAACTTAAATATATATGTATATATATTTCTAATTCTTGTAATATGGCATTTCCTCAGTTTATGAACTACCTATAAAGGTGACTGTATAGATTTGCGGGTTTCCTTTTGGTATACCTTTAGTCCCTTTTGAGTCTATTCATCAGAGACTGTAGATAAGCATCCGGCAAACCTATCAGAAAGGGAAAGGGTCTGTCTCTTTTCCTTCACAGAAAAGAATTTCAGGAGGAGGCAAAACAGTGAAGCAGAGTAGTTTTTATTGAACAGACCTTGCTTAGGAAGATGTGAGAGAAGACAGAGAGGGGAAATGTGTGCAAGGGAAAACACAGGCAGCAAAGAAACCTCGAGACCAGCAAGAGAGAACGTTCGTTCAGGGAGAACACGGGCTTGAAGAGCTAGCCCTGAGCAGCTTTTGGGAGGAGCTTTTATACAATTCTTCCAGGTGGTTCTTTTCTGGAGCTAGCATGCATAAAAATTAATCTGGGCTTTGTCACAGGAAAGCCTTGCACTGTTGATGGTCTTATCAGAATCTCATCCCTTGCACTGTCGATGCAAGGGTCCACCCTTCCCCGAGTAGGGCCTTCGGTTTCTACAGCTGGGTTTCTCCTCTTCAAAGAGCTCAGGATTTGTATTTCAAAGGGATGTGGGCCTTGCGCCTCGTGCTGCTTCAGGGCTAGGAAATCTCTTCTTAAATTTTATTATTCCCCGAAGTACTTTGCCAGTGTATCCTTCCCACCTCCCATCCCCCATCTGCCCAACCAAAGTGCCCCAAGTCCAGGTGCCCTTCTTGCTTTGACTACTTTCCAACCAGAAACATAGGTGACCATGCGGGAAGTGATTTTGGAGAGGTGTGAACAGTGAACGGCTACTAAGTCCATGGACTCCAGCGTTTAAACTCTGAATTTGTACGCATGTGTCTCTGAGTCCGTAGCTGCCCATATAACCATATCCCCATCCTCTGTGACTCAGGTCCTGCTCGTGAGCAGTAGCCGCCATCCAGACCGATGGATTGTCCCTGGAGGAGGCATGGAGCCTGAGGAGGAGCCGAGCGTGGCGGCAGTCCGCGAAGTCTGTGAGGAGGTAAGCTGACCAGAAAGGGCTGGCCCAGTTGGAGCGCCAGGCCCCGCGTCGCCTCTGCAGCTCCTGAACTGATCGCCGTGGACTGAATGGACATTCTCTCAGAAGATGGCACTTACACTTTGCCTTTGTGAGGAAGGGGTGATGGGGCTTGGCATGCCGTGTGTATGGAGCATTCTGCTGGGGGAGGCCCCCCTGCTGGTGCTGGATCTCACTGCACAGAGTCTGCACCCGCCTGTCCTGCCTCCTCGCCATGCATCAGTGGCTAAAGTACATTCTCTTAGCTCCAAACTCTTCATGGTGCAACTTGAAGAGAGAATAGTATCTTCTTTTTTGTGTAATCAAATGATGCTCCACATACAATGTTTTGAGTGTACTCATCGTGTGTAATGTAGTTTATAGATGCCCAATAAGAAAGAGTCTTGGGTAGGGGCTGGAGTGATAGCACAGCAGGTAGGGCGTTTGCCTTGCACGTGGCCGACCTGGGTTCGATTCCCAGCATCCCATATGGTCCCCTGAGCACTGCCAGGGGTAATTCCTGAGTGCCTGAGCCAGGAGTAACCTCTGTGCATCGCCAGGTGTGACACAAAGAGCAAAAAAAAAAAAGAAAAAGAAAGACAGACTTGGGGGAGGGGAGAATTAAGAAAGAGTCTTGCTACCTTAATCCCCTTCCTTTAGAGTTTTCAGTTTGGTTGGTAAACTGAGAAAGAGATTGTAATTCAAAACCGGGGGAGGAACTGATGATCTCAGTAACCTCTTGTGACAGCATGCTCTGGGCTGCTTACATCTCCTCCCTTAGGAGTATAACTCTGGGGTGGGTTTGTGTTATCATCCCCATGTATGTATCCTGCCCACGTAGAGAATGCTTTAAGGCAATTAAAACTGAGATAAGTTAGTGGGCCAGAGTACATGCTTTACATGCCGGAGGCCCAGGTTCAGTCTCCAGGACCAACATGATCCCCCAAGCACTGCTACGATGCAGCCCCCAAACAGTGAGCCTGAAGTACCTAAGCACTGCTGGGCCAGCCAGAAACAAAGGACTGATTCCAAAACACATAAAATAGCACTTGGGACAAGTCTTAACCTTTATTTCTTTTGGATATTTACTGAAAATATTTTAGACTGATCTTATCTTTGGAATTCTTCCTCACCCCTTGGAGTTCTAAAGGAATTCTTTTCCGTGCTATGAACTCTGCATACTTTAAATTGATTTATTTCTCTGCTATCCATGAAATTACAATCTCTGAGGACAAAGATTGTTTCCTTTGTTGTGTGTTGTTGTTTGGGGGTCACATCCAATGGTGCTCAGGGCTTTTTGGCTCTGCACTCAGGGATCACTCCAGACGATGCTCTGGGGACCATATGGGTGCTGCTGGTCCAACCTGGGTCAGCCATGTGCAAGGCATACATTCTACCTGTTGTATTGATGCTCTGGCCCCTTGCTGCCTATTTTAAATTCTCCCTTTCTCTCCCTAGTATATAGCCTCTCTCTCTCCCTAGTATACAGTGAGGTGCACAGAAAATAACTAGTACAGTCCTGTGTGACAGAATAATGGATGAACAGGAAAAATCCTGCAGAAATACCCCAAATGGAGATTATCAGAGGATAGAAAGTGATAAATATTGACAGAGAGAATGTGAAAGGCATTTTGTGTTTGTTTGGGTTTGCTTTGGTTTGGTGGGAGGCCAGCAGTACTGGGGGTGGGGTGGGACTACTTCTGGCTCCATGCTTGGGGATCCTGATGGTGTTTGGGGGACCATGCAGTGCTGGGGATCAAACCCAGACCTTCAGCTTGCCAGACAGGCACTCAGCCCTTGGAGCTGTCCCTGAAGCCCTGAGAAGACATTCTCACAGTCGTAAAAATTGTTCCACTCTTACCGAACCAGGCACAATGAGGAGTGCATGAGGTTCAGGCCAGTTTCACGGGGCACATTTAAGGGCACATGGAAGGGAATAACTCAGATTTTTACTTCTGATGATTCTGGACACCCAGTGTAGAGGAAGATTTTTCTGTTCTCAATGATCAGGTCACCAACTGTGTGTGCTCAGGGCTTACTCTTGTCTCTGCACTCTGATCACTCCTGGTGGTGTTCAGGGAACCTTAGAGGTGTCAGGGATTAAACCCGGTCAGCCATATGCAAAGCAAGCACCCTGCCTGCTGTACTGTCACCCAGCCCTGACTTAAATGCTTTAATATTATCTTCCTGACAGTAGTGTCAATCCCACAGGACTGTCCCCCACTGCTTGAGGTACCAGTTGCAAGCCCAGGTTATCTCTTGTGCTTTTCACCAACTTTTTATAGACTGGAGATGCCAGAGACAGTACCTTACCTCGGGTTTGATGTGCTAGAGCAGCTCAAGGAACTCACAGAACCCATTATGTTTGCCAGTTTATTTTAAAATACGAAAAAGAATTTTGGTAAATAACTCGATGAAGACAATTAAATTCTGGGAAGACCCTGAGCGCAGGAGGTTCTGTTCCTATGAAGTTGAGGTGTACCCATTACCCTCCTAAAGTGGTACTTGCTGGTCCTTATATCCTAGGCTAATGGGATTTTTATGGGCACTTTTGGATTGACCACAAATTAATGATGTTCAGCCTTATACTCAGCTCTTCCTAAATGGAAGGAAGGACTGAAATTCCGAGTTCCTCATCATGACTTGGTCTTTCTATTGGCCAACTCCCATTCTTTTGTTTTATTTTTCACTTTAGAGGGTGGGGGTTTAGACCATGCCCAGTAGTCACAGGGATTGCTCCTGGTTCTGTGCTCCAGGGACCATAGAGTAGAGGGGGGTAAAAGCCAGAGATCCCGTATACATTTGTATACATTTTACATATACACAGGGCCTAGAGAGATAGTACAGTGGGTAGAGCGCATGTCTTGCACACGGCCAACCCAGGTACATTACTGATACCCTGTATGGCCCTCCAGGTACCACGAGGAGTAATTCCTGAATGCACAGCCAGGAGTTACCCCTAATCATCACCAGATGTGGCCCAAAACCAAACAAAAATGCACTCAACCAGTTGAACCATCTCTTCAGTCCCACACACCCCTTCCCATTCTGAAGCCATCCAGGGACCCACCAAGATTCTCCTCATTAAACATAGTGCTGTCACATAGGAACTTGCAGGAATGTCAGGGACTAGGTCAAAAGACCAAATATTAGCGCAAACCATGAAAATCGTTCGCTTCCAGGGGTTGGAAGGGTTTCAGGAGTACTGAAACCTTTCAGCAACCTAGAGCAGAGACCAGTATCTGTTTTCTGATATCTCAGCACCAGAATCTTGTCTGCTTTTTTCTGGAGGATCCCAAAGGTTTGAATGTGCAGTGAGTATGGTCAGACCAATTGATGGGCCTGACTGAGTTGCATATGTTTAATTTAAATCCAGTTGACTTTTGTCAGTTTTAAGGTACCTAATACAAAGTGGTGACCAGCAGAGTTCTCATAGTACTTATGGATTCAGACAGATTTTTGGGAGGCCAGAAATAGAATAAAGAGAGAGAGAGGAAGAAGTTCATTCAGACTTTTTGTGTGAAGACTTGTAGTTTGTTTTGGTGGTGATGTCGGGCGTTGGGCTGGTATATGCCAAATGTGCCATTGTAGAGCATTTTGAGTTCCATGTTGGTCTCTGGAAAGTTGATATTAGTTGTTTTTGCATATTGTGGTTGAATTGTCCCTGGGTAATACAAGTGCTCCTAAGATACAGAAAACTAGATGAGAGAAGCAGAAATTTGGCGAAGGATCAGGAAGGGATGCAGGGCACCTGCTTGGCCATCTCTTTCCTGGAGATGACGTACTCTTTGTTCAGCGAGTAGGAGAGCCGAGCTCAGTTGGAGCAAAGTGCTCTTGATTGAGGGTGAGAAAGGTGCAGCAGGAAGAATACAGAAATGTTAAGGCAGGGAGCAGAGCGACAGGCCAGTGGGAAGGGTGCCTGCCTTGCATATGGCTGACACAGGTTCAGTCCTCGGCACCTCATATGTTCTCCTGAGCCTGCCAGGAGTCATCCCTAAGTGCAGAGTCCGGAGTAAAACCTGAGCACCGCCAGGTGTGACTCCCCCTAAAAAAAATGGAAGGGGTTGATAGCTTAAAGGGATGAGGTGTGTGCCTGACCTACAGGAGATCTTGGGTTCAGTCCCCTGCACCTCGTGGTCCTCATACACTGCTGGGAGTGACCATCTTGCACAGAACTGGGAGTATCCCCCAAGCACTGCACCTGTGGACCGTCCTCCTCGGAATCCACAAAAAGTGGACACAGATTTACCGAAAGTCAATAAAGCCAAAATTAAAATGTCACAACTTTTTTTCTTTTCATAGATAAGTTGACTAAAAGAGCAGAGTTCAACCCCAAAATTTATTTTGGGGGAGGGGGAAGCCCTATTATCAACATGAGGGTTCCAGCCCAGTTCTGCACTGACCTTTCTGTCATGGATATGGTGATTTTATGGCAAGGCCAAGGCTGAATTGGAACCATTGTGAAGTGTTTTGTTTTGTTTTGTTTTGGGGTCACACCCAATGATACTCAGGAGTTACTCCTGGCTCTGCACTCATGGAACCATTGGTATGCTGGGATCGAACTGAGGTCAACCATATGCAGAGCAAGCATCCTATCCACTTTACTAACTCTCTGGCCCCTGACAAAAAAGTACACATTCAGAAACTTGATTTCATATATGATTGCTCTTTTGGTAAGCATAGATTTTTATAATCACTTTAAAATGTTTTTGAAATTATTTTTGGGTCGCACCCAGAGATGCTCAGGGGTTACTCCTGGCTCTGCACTCAGAAATCACTCCAGGTGATGCTCAGGGGAACCATATGGAATGCTGGGGATCAAACCCAGGTTGGCTGCGTGCAAGGCAAACATCCTCCCCACTGTGCTATCACTCTGGTCCCCACTTTAAAAAAAAATTTCCCTTCTCTTTTTGTTGTTGCAATGACTAGGAGTTGCACACACCTTGGTTGCAATGTGTAGTAGGTTGCACATTTTGCAATGGTTC